TACTATCATGTTAAGAAAAAACAGCTGTACAAATTTACGAAATATATTAACTTTTCACGTTAAAGTTTTCTTTTCTACTATTAGGCCGCAAAAAAATAATTTTTGGTTTGAAAGAAATACTCAACAAGAAAAATTTATCTTGTTTATCGGTCGTAAGTGTAGATAAAAATAAATGAAAAACGTGACTCTGTATAACGCTTTATATTTTTAAGAGAAAGTACCGCCATTTTTCTGCACCAAACGAATAATCACACTGAATTCATACTGAAAAAATATGGACAAATATTTGACGATTGTGTCAAACAAGAAACCCTTTTTTTTAAAAATTGCAATAGTCTTAAGATTAATAATCTACAATGCTATTAGTTTCAATAAACTACTGCATCCAATGCTAGGCACATTTTTTTTAAAGCTGATCATAAAAATTGAATTAATTACCCTGTTTCATAGACCGAGAAAAGGAATTGATTGGAGAGGTGTTTCAAAAAAAATGCCAACCGAGATATTTTGACGGATTGAGGTTCGTCTCCGTATGTTTTAATAACGAACCTAAAATCCAACAGCTAAAATATTGCAGGTTTTTTTTATTTACCGGTAAAAATGCAAAAATGTGATTTTTTGCTGTTACAATTTGTTCTTCGCTATGTACAAGAAAACATTTTAAGAGGAACCTGTAGGTATTTAAGAAATCTACACAATTAAACCAGTTAAGTTCAAATTGGTTTTTTTTTTCTTACAAAATGCAATAAGCTGCTAAAAATTAATGTTTCTTATATGACGCTTTAAACAAACAATTTTACACCTAGATATATTCAATTTTAATGCACTGTAGGCCTTAAGGTGCAGTATTAGTAATATTTTTTTGAAATTTTTTTCTTGAAAACTTTAAAAAAAAATTTTTTTGTCCATCGAAAAAGCACTTTCGTGTGTTTTTAATTATTATCTCGTTAGTAGGTCATAGGCTGTTGTATTTGGGCTCATTCTCTTCTTTAAGAGTTGTACTTCCAGTCTTTTTTCATAGCTAATCGATTTTTGCATCTAGGGTCTTGCAAATTAAGGTGCAAAAAAGTGCTAAGTTGCAAAATAAAACAACTCAAAAAATAATATAAAAAATAAATACTAACAATCATTTTAAAACTTTTGCCATTTCATTCCAAGAATTTTTCTCTGAATTTACAAAAAAATATTAATAAATATACATACATTTTTTTTTATATAAAAATTCCTGATGCTTTATTTTATAACCAAAGAGGCTGAAATATATAAGGATTACAGTTCAACAGTTATATTTTTGAGACCAAAATACTACATGTTGTTTAAATGCCACACATTGTTGCTAAACTAATATTAAAGTCGACATTAATTTTGTAGGCAAAGTAGGAAAAGCTGGCATCAGGTGCGACGAAATCTGAGTTATTTTGTTTGTTTTTTCAATTTATACACGTAACCTTAACTTTTTCATTATAATTTCGCTACTGTTTTAATGATCATGGTATTTATTAGATTGTTAACGTTATTAAAGCTCTTCGTACACGTTGTTCATTATCGTTAATTAATACAGAAATTAAATTCAATAATCCATAAATACACGTCAATTATTTGAGATTTCTGATCTATACACAAATGTTCGAATTACTTTTAACAGTGCCTATCAAAGTTTTTTTATTTATAATTCTTATGAAGGAAACATATATTCTTTTCTACAAAAATGGAAAATCGAATTAAGAAATAGATGATTTGCGTGTTATAGCGAAATAATTATTGTAATACAAACAAATGGTTTAATAAGAAATTTCAAAAAAGTATATTTTATTGTACAATTTAAAAATATNTCTTTTTGTAATTTGTTTAATTTTTTAGGAAACACCCCTCCAATCAACTTTTTTCCCGGTTTAGCGTGAGTTAACTATTTCACGCTCGGCCTGAAACAAAATGTAGTCTACAAAAGCTTACTGTAATCACCATGCCTGTTATAGGCTGTCCCCTTTGCTCAAGTTTATTTCTACTTTATAGCGTTACTGTTAGGTTCGCCCAGTATAGATCTAAAAGAGAATCCGTTATTTCTAGTTAAATGCTTAGAGTTGATAGAGTAGTGCAGGGTTGTCGGTAGTCGCAGTATTCAGCCTTGCAACGAACAACTCCGCTTGTAAAGGGTCGTACCCAAATGCCGTGGATGATTTTTTCAATTTTTCGAGCCCCCCCCTCCATTTGAACTTTGTGAAAATAAGAATTAACCCCTGCCCCTACCTAATAGTACGTCAACTTACTTTTTTTCTACATTTTCGACAAATAATTTTACATAATACGTCTATTAATTAATTACTGTTAGATATTAAAATATTATCATAATCTCAATTTTAATACTCAAATTATGATGTTCACGTTTAAAGCGCACAAAATTCAGGGTTAGGATAATGGGATATTGATGTATTCGAGATATATAAATTTTTATGCGCATTTAAAATTTGCCGCTGAGTAAGTATCCTACCTTAGCAATACCACTTCTTTTCTGTCTTTGTTTAATGGCTGCGGGAATGCACATACATATACACGACTTTGATTTGCCACATATATTTCATCATTTGTATTATTGATTAGTTATGGGATGATTTTACTATGAGAGGCTTCGTTGGTTCTTTAGTATTATCTGCACATCTGCATGCTACAGTCAAAAGGCATTATACCACTAGTTGTCTACTTATATGATATCGCAGTGATTAATTTATATAAAAAACACCACAGAGTTACACGGGAGAAAGTGACGAAGCGGAGTCTCGAACTCAAGCCCTCCAGGTGGAAAGCAAGCGCTCTCCCATCTTAGCCACTGAGAACTCTTGACGCTGCATGCTGTCTACTGTGAAATTAGGAAATACCTGTAGCCGATATAACACTGTTGACAGCTGTGCATAACTTTGAGAACACGGCTATCCACTATGAGTAACCGCCTGTGCTGCCGCCCTAGTTGCCACCTGCAGAAATAATTTAATGTATGGAAGCAAAGCCAAGTCATATTATTTTTTATTGAGCATACGATTTCCTTTATAATAATATTAATTAAATCGCTCTTACATACATATACAATCATTAATTTCCTTAAAACAATTTTGCTCTAGTAAAAATATTTTCAGGCTGAAACTGTAACTGAAGAAATTTTAATCTTAATTTGAGCATTTTGCGATACGCATGCGTCGTTTTTGTTGTTATCACGACTTTCTGACCTATATTTGTTAGTAAAGCTGTGGAGTAGGATTAAGGAAACTAAATTAAACCAAAATACATCAGGCATGCCGGAAAAAATATTTAATTTTAGATATTTGAAAATTCGTGTATGCAAGTTTGAAGTAGATAGTAGCGCTGTCGCCGAGGATTGGTCTGTTTTCTTAAACTTACCTCGTCGCGCTCATGCGTGACTTGATGTATAATTTTACACTTCGCATCACTGATCTTTACATCGTTATAAGGTCGGTAGTTTGTATTTAGCGATTTTTTTCAAATTAAACTCTTTTTTTTATACAGATGTTCTTACAACAGGAGTTTATCGAGTCCTGTGATAACGTGATCGAGTTTTGATTGTTACTTTTCATAGAAAAAAGAGTACCTTAAATGTATATCATATTTTCGTTTACAACTTACACAACGTGAAAGTCAAAATCGGAACCCGATCGCATTATCAAAGGACTCGATTGAACCCCAGAGGTCTGATAATTACCACCGATAACCTGAAGACCATTCGAGATTAACCGTCACGTTATAGTATTATTTATGTATATCCATATAGCCTTTTTCGACTGTTGGTAAACAATACATGCTACACATCTATTCTCGTGATGGTCAAATTCGAACGATATTCAGATTATTAACGGTCTGAATCAGACCCCAGGTTCTGAAAAGATTGCACTTTTTACATTCAAACAGTATCGCCATTGGCAAAATATTATGATTAACTAAGCTCCACCTTCTGTATTTCTTTTACATTCAGTAGAAAGTAAGTTAATGTTTCGTCAGAAGATGTGCGTGTCAATTGTTACACAAAACATTTTTCGTCAAACGTAGAAAAATAAGCTTTTACCAAGTTATTTTTTTTAATTTTTATTTTTTGAAACACATAAAGCATACTACCAAAAATAATTATTTTTCGCTTTTTTTAAATCTTAAGTAAATATAGCCCGGTCGCCAAAGCTTTATTTGCAAAAACATCTTGTAGTTAGCATGATTATTTATTCTCAAGTCATTGATCTGCACATTAAGTTTTTCATTAGCTGCATTAAATTCCAGTATTTTATGTAATCTAATTTTTATTGTTCGCTGTATAAAGTAACATTATACTTAAAAATATCCATTCACAGCTTGCTGTTTGAACATCATATCAAGTATTTAAGTCACATATTAAACTTAAATAATGAAAGTATTTATTATGAACGTCATAAAGACGCTCAATGTTTTTTGTAAAAACGATTTTAGCTAAGTAATAATAGAGAAGTTTTTATGTAATAATCAAATTTTTGAACCAAAAAAATTTATTTTTTTGACCATAAGTTATAAACATTTCAAGTTAGTCACATTCATAGAACGATTTAAAAAATTTATAACTTTTTTGATCATATTTTTACTTTTTACCGTGAGTCACAAAATACTTTTTTTCTTGTAATAAGAAAGACTACAACAAGCAAACTTTCGTCTTGTAAGAATATGCAAGTTTTTGTTAATTGTTTTAACAATGAAAGTTTGAACAAACGACACTACTTACAAGTAAAAATAATTTGTAAGATTGGATTTTATGATTTAAAAAAACCAAGAAAATCCGTGTTCTGTAGAGAGAAATACTTTGTACTCAATTTCACTTAATTGTAAGTTGACACTTTTCGACCATTTTCAAAAGTACTAATGCTAAGATAAAATCTAGAAATGTATTTAAAAAATTTTCTGAAAGTCGAAAATTTATTAATTAAAAACCAGTTAACTTTCTCTTATAATAGTGTTTATGTCTCTAAATATTTCAGGTGGAACAGCCCTATTAAAATGCGCTCCAGCCTTGAAGATTCTAAAACCAGGAAATGATGACCAAAAAACAGGTATCAATATTGTGACGAACGCACTCAAGATGCCATGCTTGCAGATTGCCAAAAATGCTGGAGTTGATGGTAGTATTGTTGTAGCAAAAGTATCCGAGACTGGACTAGGTTACGACGCCATGAATGACGAATTCGTAAATATGATTGAAAAAGGCATAATTGATCCTACTAAAGTAGTGCGTACTGCTCTGACTGATGCTGCAGGTGTTGCTTCACTATTAACGACTGCTGAAGCAGTTGTCACTGAATTTCCAAAAGAAGATTCACCCATCCCTGGGGCTGGAATGGGTGGAATGGGTGGAATGGGTGGAATGGGTGGGATGGGTGGAATGGGTGGCATGATGTGAACAAAAATGTGAAAAGTGTGTAAAGACTCATTTGACATAAGCATGGATTATATCTAATTCTAAGTTATATTTCCATCTAACAGTATATTAGTACCATTTCTAATAGTACGTACATTCTTAATGTTGCATTTTATTATTGTAAATGATTCGCTATGTTGTAAAATAAAATGTTGTATTATTAAAGCTTTTTCTAGTTTTAATAGTTGTACAGATTATATGTTATAATAACTTAAGAGTAATTTTGTACTTTATCGTATTAATTATGCTGGCCTTCATCTACAATTTGATATACAAATAACGTAATACAAAAGTTATTAAAAGACTCACTGTATTTGTAATTAGACGAATAAAAACTGAAACTTTTTTTCACTGAAGTTTCATAAAAATTTTGTTGAAACCCGACATTCGTAAGTACTGGATGATTTGCACCGTTAATTTTTAATGTTTGAATAAACAATAAAATATTCATTGTGATAAAAATTTTTGTAACGTAATCACATAATTCCTAACTTTGGTTTACTTCATTTTTCATAATAATAGTATGTTCATGTATTTATAGACTTAAGCATTATTCTTTAAGGGCCAAGTAGGTCTCGCTGAAGATCGAGGTCCCCTAAAACACCAAGATTTTCTAGACAGATTTTGATCTTCTGAATGCAAATCTGCAGGACATTTAAAACGCTATAAAAAATTAACAAATACTGCTTAAAGGATAAAAACTGATACGCTGTACTAGTTTTTTAAAAAAATTAAAAAATTTTTATTAGAAAAAAGTTATTGCACACTTAGTGACGAAATTTAGCTTTTGATAAGATCGTGCTCCTTATTTTTATCATAACTTGGCCCTAATTTCTTATTTTTAATAGAAGAACCTCTAATTTTAAAAAGTAGGATTAAATCTAAAATTAAGAGTCCTTAAAGACAATAATAACTTTCATTTTGTTTTTGAATGTGCTTGAATACAAAAATTTTGGCGAATAGACGACCACTAATTTGTCCATAAGCTGACACCTTTTCCGCATACGAGGTAAAAAATACAAAAACAATTTTAAATTAAAGAATTTTTTCACAAAATACGTTAGTTTTTGCAGAATTAAAAAACACGTATTAGAAACAAAGTTGTTGTAAAATTAGTCAAGTTATGTAGCGCGTGGCTTCAGATGCGTGCTGCGCCTTAAATAACATGCTTGCAATCGCTATCCTTACTTCGCCTTTAATTATTTTTTTAATCATCAGATCTTGAATTTACAAATCAGATTGTGCATTCAAATTATTTTTTTGTATAATTCAAAACCAAACATTTCATTTAAAATAAAATCCTTAGTTTATTTGTATGCCTTGAACGATTTGTACGATGACAAATGATGGAAAAACTAGTAGATAGTTTATTTACAACTAATTAATTGTAAGTTATGTGATACTGATGCTTATCGGTAAATTAGAAATTCATACGACCAATGGTATACAAGCGAATGTTGATACATCTAAATCATTGTATCAAGAGGTGCCAATGCATAGATGTTTATTGCTTCTAGACATTTTTTTGCTTTTATGAAAAATAATCAATTTTGATTTTTCTTCAGAGATTATCAATCCTCTACTTGCCAAAAAAGTAATTGGGTTTGGAGAGTCTTTTTGAACAAAGTTCAGAGCTTCAATGACATCTTTAGAAGAGCTGTACAGAGTGAGATCGTCAGCAAATTGGAGAGCTTCCGTGTTGTCTAATAATAGAGAGTCCAATTGAGATGTGTATAAGGCATACAAAATTGGACTCATAGTTAATCTCTGAGGTAGGCCTTTATTAGTTGTTAGAATTTCACATTTTTGGGAGTTAGTAGGTATGAGTTGCCTCTCATATATTAGATTTTTGACAGACAGTACAACTTTATTTGGTAAATCTAAATCAACTAAGTCTTTCAATAAGATATCAAGGATCACATTGTCAAATGCTCCCTTGACATCGAGAAATAGAGCAGTAAGATATCTATTCTCATAGAAGTTCTTTTGGATTTCGGTAGTTAAAAGGGATAGGTTATCTGTACAAGATTTCCCTTTATGAAAACCATACTGTGATGAAGGAAAGATATTGTTTGATTCCAGCCACCAGAAAAATCGGTTACTTATCATTTTTTCAAAGGTCTTCAGGAGGCATGAAGCCATAGAAATCGGCCTAACATTGGAGCCATTTCCTTTGGGAACATTACTAAGTACGTTGACCAATCAGGTGGGAATAAGCCTTGGTTGTATAGATCGTTATAAAGGTCTAAAAGAACTTTTTTGTAATACTATGAATCTGACGACAGCAGGATATTGCAATATTAAAGTATGACTCCAACGGCAATGCTGTCCAATGGTCTTTATTTATTTATTAAAGCAACGTTTCGGCCACTTTAGAATGAAGCCCTTTTCAAGCACTATAAATTTCATACAAATCATGACAAAATTAATAAAAAGGTAAACAATTATACAATCGATCGTAGTTTAAAACACTAAAACTTACAATTATATCACAGTATACAAGCTTTACATGATCGCTTACATTTGTCGAGATCTTACTTAATTGACTGTAGCCTGTAAGCGACTCGAACATACTAACGAAAATTAATTTCTATACCGAGGACAGGTATCTATGAGGCAGGACCAATACCAATACATACATGTGCAAGAGTTGAAATGGTTAAAGTATGTATTAGAGAAGGCGTGACCTATATGAAATGATATTTTTGAATAAAATTTATTTAGTTATTATGCTATTGTCTGTGGCTAGTGTAAACTACTTTTGATAAATTCTTTAAAAATTGGTAATAAATTTTGTGTATCAAATTGTCTGTTCAAGTTATGGATATTTCTACTTATGTGTATCATTTCTGATACCTCGCGCCTACTCCTTACATTTTCAACATCTAAAATCTGTACATTACTATATTCAAAATCTATATTGTGTCCTGAATCTTTCACGTGGTAATACAATGCAGATCTGTCATCTTTTTTCTTAACATCTCTCATGTGTTCACCAACTCGTGTTTGCAGAGTTCTACTTGATTGACCTATATAATACCGATGACAATCTAGACAATTAATTTTATACACTATATTTGGTTTGTAACGCGGTTCTATTTTGTCTTTACCTAGTTGATTATTTATGTTAATTTTATTAATGTTTTTAAAAATGACGTTAATATTGTACTATGAATCCGACGACAGCAGGTCATTTTTAAAAACATTAATAAAATTGGCATTTGGTCCAAGAGATTCGCAATAAGCCTTAAATGAGTCCTTTTTGGCCTTTTTGAGTGTGTATCTTGTTTCAGCTAAAGTTTTCTTAAAACTTATAAAAAATTTTAGATCACATCTAAGGGTGATGGATTTTGAGGCTGCCTTCCTGAATCTAACGGCTTTCTCACAATCCTTATTCCACCAAATACAGTTTTTTTTTTTGCGATTCCTCTTTTTTTTTTTTTTTTTGTATTTGTTCGGAGTAGTGGAAGTTCTGTTGTTGTTGTCAAGACGAATAGATTCTTTGTAGGTGTAATTAAGAGAACTCAGAACTGAATCATTCAAGAAATTTAAAAAGATTTTGTATCTTTCAAGAACATGAACATTGGTATGCTTAGAAGAAATGAATAACTTTTTATTAGAATCGAGTTTCAAGTTAAATTTTTCCCAATACATTTTATTTAAGTGATATCTATAATCTATTTTGGGCATGCACTCAAGGTCGCAATTAACTGCTACATTTAGGGGAAGTGGTCACTCCCCCATAAGTCGTCTAGGACCGTCCATCTAGAGTTTAGCGCCAAATTAGGAGAAATTAGAGTTAAGTCTATGGCTGAAAATTTGCATTTATTTTGACTGATTGTGCAATGAGTTGGGGAGCCATCATTGAGCAAAAAAAAAAGTTTCGGGGTCTAGGTTGTCAGCAATTATCTTACCATTAGCACAGGTTCTTTTACTACCCCATAAATTAAGGTGAGCGTTGAAGTCCCCCAAGATCAAATAAGAGTCTTACTGCTCGGCTGTATTACAAAGAATATGCCAGTCCTGTATAGTATAATTGTTGTTAATAATTTTATCGTTATTTTGACTATCTTTTTTATTGTGTCATCTATAGCAAGCCAAAACAAAGATTTCTTTATTACTGCTTTTTATTGAAACTGAGCCATATTCAAGGCTGTTAAACTTTAGATTGAGATTTGGTGTGTCATAGATTATGCCTTTTTTAATAAAGATAACTATGCTACCTTTTTCTCCTTCTAACCTGTCAAATCTAACAGATTCAAAACTTTCAAGAGAAAAGTTCTCCTTGGGGTTAAGCCAAGATTCAATCGCAATTATTATATCGTAATTGTAAGTCTGCAATTTTTTGTAAGTCTAACTTGTTTTTGATGCCTCTAGCATTAGTTTGTAAAATGCTAAAAGAGTTGCTGCCATAAGGCCTTTTTTTTTTCTCCTAATTATACAAGAAATAAGATGAAACTTTAATTATGTAAAATGTTTTGATGTTCTTGAAATGCTAGCAATACTATTAAATTAAAGTATACGTAAGTATAAATAAATGAATAAGTAATCAAAATAAAGAGGAAATAATTTAAACTAAAATTTAAAGCCTACTTAGGTTTAGAGTTTTGGCCATACGAACCTTTGGCATAGATTGTAAAATTAACATTTTGTTTATTTAGGACTTGATATTTCTTTTCTAAAGTTGTTATGTAACGCGGATTGTGAAGAGATTCATTGCTTACATTAATTTTTCTATTATTCTTCATCTTATTACTATACTGTTGCATTTCGGTGTTTTTCTAAAGTTGTAATGTAACGCGGATTGTGAAGAGATTCATTGCTTACATTAATTTTTCTATTATTCTTTATCTTATTACTATACTGTTGCATTTCGGTGATTGTTCCTGTTTTTGGAAGGTCCTTCTGGTGTAAAAGTTTGTTCAAGTTCGTGAAAACGGGTTTCGACGCAGGTTAATTAGAATTCAGTAAGTTAGCTGTTTGAAGAGGTACATTTTGCTTTTGTTCTTCGTCTAATTTGTGACTAGTTCTTCCAATTTTTTGGACTAGTGAAGAGATAGCAGGTTTATGAGAGACATTTTCTTCATCATTTATGACAATTTTGGGAGATGTCAAAATTTCTTTGAAAGACTTTGGATAAGCTGCTTTATCTTTCTGTTCCTCAAGATGTGGAAAATTTTCTTTGGTCCTAATAGGCAGATTCTGTCCAAAAATCAGTTTTTTAGCTTGAACAAACGTAATGTTCTCATAAGCCATTTTTTTATGTATTTCAACGTATTTCTGGAATACTTCGCAGGCCTGGCTTACACTTTTATGAGCCTTCTTACAATTAACGCATGATTGAGTCTCTATTTCA